TGTATATGTTTTGAGATTATGAATGTTGAGTATGTTTCGGAAACACGAGTTGAATTTGAACATTGCATATGTTATTTGAGTTTCGAAAATATAAACTGGTTGTAAACATTGAATATGTTTTGAAAAGCATGAGATATATGTGTTGAAGTTAATTGAAATTCAAAAGGACGCATGTTGATAATGCATGTGGAGTTATATTGTAAATTGTTCTTTTGAGAAAAGATGGAATGACTGGTGATGGGTCATGTTGGTAAAAGTTGAATTATAATCTTGTTGAGAATTAAAAAAAACACAATTTTGAAACTTATATATGAAATTTCGGGGACGAAATTCTGTAAGGGGGGGAGGTTATAGCGATCCCGGTTTTCCCCGTCAATTATTGTATTCCGTACTCGAGTTCCGAAGTTGTATGTTGTTGTCTGTGTCTTGTTTCCATCCTTTAATTCCTTGTATTCGAGTTTTGGGATGTGTTGGGCAAGTTTGAAACAGGTTGGTTATGAGTTGGGACAAATGGTTGCTACCCAGGTTTTGGCCACTTCGCTCGAGCGAGGATTTTTGCGCTTGAGCGAGCCCTAGGTATTTGCTTCTTCGCTCGAGTGAAGGTTCTTATGCTCGAGCGAGCTTTGTTTAGTGTGTCTATTCGCTCGACAAGCACTCTTGCACTCGAGCGTGCGTCTACGTCTCTTTTGGACCTAAAGGTTGTTATTCTTCGCTCGAGCAAGCTTTCTTGCGCTCGAGCAAGCGAGCTCTATGTTTTGGGTTTCTTCGCTCGAGCGAGAACTCCTACGCTCGAGCATGCTTCTATGTTGCAGACCTGAAGCTTTGCATTGTTAGCTCGAGTGACGCTTCTTGTGCTTGAGCGAGGTGTTTGTTGTGTCTGGTCGCTCAAGCGACCACTCCTTCGTTCGAGCGAGCCTCGTATATATCAGTTCGCAGCAATGACTTTTTAATCACTTTTTCACCTCTCCTTTTTACTCCAAACCCTAGATCCGACCCTCTCTCTCTCTCTAAACACTCATTCTCTTTACAAATACACCTAGTTCTAGTGGTTTTCTACCCTAGTCTCTTTGTATTAAAGCTTGAGCTTCGCGAGGGCTATGTTTTGATCTAAAAAAGTTGAGCTTTGGAGCACTTTGAGTTTCTTCCTTCATCTCCTTTGAGTCTCTCCAATTGAGGCAGGGATAGACTACTCTTTATTATGAGTTTTAACATAAATTTTAGTCATTTTGTATAAATGGTGGGTTTTGGTGATTTTGGAAAGGTTAGAGTTTGTGATTGAAAATGGAAAATAGGGGTTTTCTATCTAAATCTCCATATGTGTATGTAGGTTCATGAGATGGGGATATTTGTATAAAATGGTGAGATTTGGACCTTGGGGTCAATATTTGGGAAAAGGGGAATAATGCCTTAATTTGGGATAAATTGGATTATTTGTAAAAATAATGGAATTAAGTGTGAAATTATGAAATTGGGGGAAAATGTGATTAAATGGTGTAGTTGGATCGATGAATCACTCACTTATGGAAAATGTAATAAATTATCCGTTTGATAAATTTATTTATCTGTTTAGAAATAATTGTTTTGGGCTATCGGTGGAGGATAGTCTTGATTGTTGTAGACATTGCATGATGATTAGGGAAATTGAAACTAATCACTTGAATTATGTCATTGAATATGACAGTTAGATTAACACATTGAATATGTGCTTTAATTAATTATTATATATGATAAAGCGTTTAAATACATTGCATGTGTATTTTGTTTGGGAGGAAATAGGGGATGGACTCCATTGACAACTAAGTTGGCCAAAGTGTCCAGGGTGAAAGTCCCGAAATCTTAAATACGTTTGAATGACGTTGACGATTGAAGTGTTAATTAAATGAGTTGTAGTCTCATTTTGAATTGTTGATGATGGAAGTGTTAATTAAATGAGTTGTAGTCTCATTTTGAATTGTTGATGATTAAAGTGTTAATTATATGGGTTGTAGTCTCATTTTGAATTGATTTGGATAAATAAAAGGAATTGGATTGAAATACGGTTGTAAATGTTGATTGGTTATGGAAAGGATGTACGTTGGTTTACCTGTGTTAAACGTTTATCAAATGCTAACGTTTTAGTTATTTCTCATATTTGGTTTAGCATATCTCTATTGGGCTTTGGCTCACCCTATATGGGACACCATTTTCAGGTACAAGTGACATGCCGCCTCCAAAGAATTAGCTTGAGAGGTTGTGGGGCTAAAGTCTCCGTTTTGGCGTTTTTATTTTGTGTTATGTGTTTTTTTTTCTAAGCCAAGGGCTTTAAATTGTAAAGGGCTCTGACCCTCTTTTGTTGAAACCAAGTGTTGACTTGGAAAGTTGTAAGCCTGTAGGACATTTACTTTTGTTGTCAACATGTAATATTTTTGTAAAGAACACTCAGATGAATGGAAACATAATATCTCTTTTACGATTTTGAATCTTATGAATGACTGATTTATGTATTATTTTGAGGGCGTTACAAAAATATTTTATTATATATAACTTATAATACTAGAGGTGTTTATGGGTCGGTTTGGTTCGGTTTGGCACTAAATTTGGAACCAACCCATTCATGACCGGTTCCAAGGTTTTAGATCCAGAACCAAACCAATCATGCACTAGAACCTACCCAACCAAATCTAACCCAACTCAATGTAACTCGGGTTAGTTCGAGTTGAAATCACAGTTCCACTATATTAAAAATAAACAAATCAATCAATAATAAATAATTAAAATATAATAGTCTTTAAAGTTTAAACATAACACAAACAAAGAGCAAAATATTATTTAATGCAAACCAATATAAATTAAATCAAACTAAAGCTTAAATATAATCCAAATAAATTAAATCCATTAATACAACTATTATAAATTAAATTAACTGTGAAATTTGATTCAAACTTCTAGTACTTATTTCTTTTACTTAATAATTATTGTATTGGGAAAATTATCAGGTGTAATTAAGTCCATTGTAATAGAACAATAAGGTAAAGATATGTCAATATAAATAAAATTTTAAAATTTATTTATATATGTATAATTAAATAGATTCGGTTTTCGGGTTTGTACGGTTTAAGCAAGGCTTAAACCAAGAACCAATCCAATCCAACTCAATCCAAAAAGGTCGGTTTGGTTTGGTTCTTCGGTTTACCGGGTAATTTGAACACCTCTAACTTACAACTCTGACTCAAATCTAAATCCAAATATGATAATGTATTTTTTATATTATGTGGCAGTTAGCGTGGCATTTCCTGTTTAATTTTAAAAACTAATTTGCTATAGAAGTAAATTGGAAGAAAAACTTAAAACATGAAGGGGCTAAAGTGACAAAAAAATAAATGTTAAAAGGCAAAGTGAGAATGTCTAAATATAAATAGGGCAAAATGTAATTTTACTCTTTTTTTATTTGTAGATATTTTTAATAATTTCTTAGAGAACTTGCATCATCGGTTTAATAATTTCTCAAGAAGGGACTTTTAGCTTCTCAATTGAAGACACATTTCTCAATAGGTTATACTTACAACACTATTCAAGACTTAAAGCCTCAACAACACCCTTGATGCAAACTAATTTGAATAATGTAATCTTCTTGAGCTAGAATATGTCCCAGATGACAGAGAAATCCTTTTAATATTTAGGTCAGTTAACTTGCTTAAATGGTTTGAGCAGGTCCTACTGGTGACCTCTACTGGAAATCCATGTAAACTTGGAAGGTTTCCTACAGTAGACATGAAAATTGCAAATTTTTGGGAATTAACAATTAACACTTAATGTAACTAAGGAGCGAAGCACCTATAATGATACCTTCTTGTGACTTAACACGCAATGAATTGGGCATCGCTACATCTTGATTGATTATGTGCTTGGACTTCATAATTTTTATTGGTTGAAAGCATTTGACCTAGTTGAGTTAGGTTCTTGTTGCAATCACTTGCATATCATCTTGTTTTGAGCTAATTTTGAGTTTTCCAGAACATAGAATAAGATATTTAGAATATTTCAGTTCCCGACTCTTCTTTAATAATGTTTTCCCATCGGATTGGAACAATATTTTTATGCAAGGTGAAACTTGAATCAATTCCATTTTCATCCACACTATTAATAATAGAATTCCTAGACTATCAGTATTTGATGAAATGAAATGTTAGCAACGTCTACTATGATGGTTAACACCTGCTAGCTGCAGCATCTAATATGAAGTACCACTACAGGAATTCACACTTTTGCCGACTAAAAATTTAGTCGGCAAAAGTCCATTTTTAGTCGGCAAAAGTTATCCGCGACTAATTTTTTTGATCGCCACTTTAGTCGCCAATTGAAAGTCACGAAAAGTAATTAGCGACTAAAAAATTTTTTAGTCAGGAAAAAATTTTATTTGCCGACTAAATTTTTGGTCACTAAATATATAATTACCGTAACTAATCCATTTTATAGCTAAAACACTTTAGTCGCCAAAAGTGATATTTTTCTGACTAAATATGTTAGTCGCTAATTATACCATTCCTTGACTAAACATGTTAGTTGCCAAAAGTAACATTTCCTGACCAAATCGGTTAGCCGTCAAAAGTAATGTTTGCACGACTAAAACTTTAGTCGGCAATAGACCTATTCGCGACCAAACTCTTTAGTTGCTAAAATTAATAATTTTACCGACTAATTATTTAGTTGCCAAATATACCCTTTTGCTGACCAACATTTTGGTCGCCAAATGTGAGTGGTCATACACCGACTAACAACTTTAATCGGCAAAAATATTACTCATCTTTCCCGACTAATCACTTGGTCGCCAAAAGAGGAAAAACAAAACCAATTTTTAGTCGCCAATTCAATTCTTTTTGTTTATCAAAATATAATAATCCATCAAATCCATTCAATATAACCTGTAATTTGCAAGAATCATTTAAACCAACAAAATCAACTAAATCATGAACATCCAACAAAATACATAAACCATCAAATCCTTAATCTTTTTAATTAAAGTCATCAATTATTATAAGTTTACATCCACAAGTAATTTCAAACTACATAACCATTCAATTAAAAGTCATGTAATCTATATAATCATCCAATTCATGTCCATCTAACATAAAAAAATTTAAAACATAACAAGTACTTTTTATTATATTTTAAATTTTAATCCATGCTCATCTATCTAAAAATATAACTACTAGTCTATCCAAATATTTTCTATACACATCTATCCAAAAATATATAATCTTTTAAAAAATGTAACAAGTGCCAACTAATCCTGTACAATTCAGCTTCATGCATGAATTCATCCATCTGTACCAAAGAAAAACAAAAATATTGTCAGGTACTTTTTTTATGAAAATATTTGCACATCAAATGATTATAAAATTGGACAAAAAATGAAAAATATCTAAGGAAAGTAAAGGTAATATGAACAAATTAAATGACTATCAATACCATTTTATAAATAAAACAACATTCATATGTATATATCTAATCAACACTACAATTCTATCAATATCATCATTTCCAATATTTGTCATCTAGTTTTAATACCAACCACATCCCCAGACTTTTTCATTTGTGGTCTTCACTCAAATAAGGCTTTTTTTTATTGTTCTTTACAGAAATGTTAGTTTTTGTTGCTATTTCAAGAATTGTGGAAAAAGTGATGTTTTGTTGCTCTCACAAGTGTGTTTAATCTAGGCCGATGTGACTGTGATGATCTCGGGGCTGTTTGGGTGCTATTTCCAATTTTTGCCCCCATACGGCTCGTTTTTTTCCTTTTTCTCTCACATTTTTTTTTGTCTATATCTCTAACCGTATATCCTATCGATGCGCCGTTTGCTCTCACAAGTTTGTTTAATCTAGGCCTGGGTGACCGTTATGATCTAGGCCTAGGTCACTCACCTGTTATTTCAAGTCCATGTACTTCGGTCATAAAATCCAACAATGGTTTCACCAAGATCCATATCCTCAAATAATTCCAGCATCAAACTTGATTTCCAAGCTCAAATCAAAACTACTCAATCCAAATACCATCTATTGAAAATCTCGAGCAGCTCCATGACCATATTTATTATGCAAGGTAAAAGATATAAAAGCTAAATTCTATCAGAACTTTTCAAAAACAAAAAAAGGTGTAACCTCACATAGACTCTAGATCTTGGTACCATTCTGTTCGTAAAAAGTATTTTCCATCTTGAAAAGTTACTTCTGTTGCAAGAAAATTTTCTAGCAAGATTTCATTGATAGCAAACAACTAAACTAACTGTCATAGTTCAAATAAATTTGTCAAGAAGATGATAGAATGATCTCAGAAAAGAACTATTTTACAAGCATAGATAAGAATTTTGATAGTCACAATCAACAAAAAGTATGCTCACATGAAAGAATTCTATAATTTTTGGGATAAGCTAAGAATATCAAATAATTTACATGATATCTACTTTAGAGTTCATAAGCATACCTCTTCCTCAAGTACTGCATGGCGAGCAATACCAGCTTTCATTGCTTTAGTCTTTTCCGATTTGCCAAACAGTAGAGAGAATTCCATTTGTTTTTCACACCATTCCTAATGTTAACATGAAATGAAGACGAATGTGAGATAAATCTAATCAATTTCCTTGCACCAAAACTAAAAGAAAAAAAATAACATTTCCATGTTAAGAAAAAATTTCAAAAAAAAAAAAATGACAACATTTATATACAAAATCATAATGTGAAAATGATTACTAGGTTTTCAAGAGTCAAGGATGCCTTATTCTTATAGGATTACGGATTAATGCAGTGACAGCTAATAATTAACTTGAGTGCACACAACTACTAAAATATATTAATTTATATTTTCAAGTCCTAAAGAACCACCCACATTTTTCTCTATTTCCCTCACCTTTTCCTTTCCCTTTCAAATTCCTATCCAAATTCACGATCCAAACATAACCTAAATAATTCTAGAAAATATAAAGTCTTTTTTGCCAAATTCTGTGTACTAGCTTAATAAACTGCAACCAGAAAATACTTATAATAAATTGTAGATCAGTAAATTACAAAATTCACTGTATAGAGTGCCATAAAAAAATGCATAATTTGTTATAAGATTCTGATATTCACGGACCTTCATTGAAAACTAGTGGACATCTGGCCACGTCTGGATTTGTTATAACAGTCTCACTACAAGATTATAATTTGTTATAAGATTATAATTTGTTGTAAGATTCTCACTACAAAACTTCTAGATTTGGTCACTATCAAAACAAGCGTGATCATCTTTTCAATTTTAACAGAGATTCTATGTACATTAGGCATGTAACCTCAATGGACATCTGGGAACTTCAGACCACTAAATGGGCTATAAAGACAAGGGGCGTTTTGAACAAATTTGAACTCTCAAAACCTAGTGACATGTCGTACATGTGGGAGTTCTGAGAGGTGTTATGACCAATGCAGATACAGTTCCATTATAAAATATGCACACTAGTGATATGTCTAAAAAATGAGTCCTACAATTTAACAATAAAAAGTACCCAGATTGAGAAGAATGAGAATAGAACTCATATTAGACTCCAAATTGTAGCAATGCATCTGAGATATAATTAAAAATTTGGAACCAAAGGGCCTAGATGGGCTTGGACCCTTGGAAGATTCCACATAAAGATTGCTGAGGAAAAAAAGAGGAAAACACTTCTTATATTTTTGGAAACACCATGGCACATAACATGAACTAATGCATATCGAACCAAGTATGAATATTTGGCATGAACACTGCCAGAGGAATGATACAGTTGAATCTGAACTCTTTCACATAATTCATAAAGGATTTATTGTTTTTGATTAAGTGCCAGGGCTGTAAGGACATGAAACATGGGGGACATGTGGATGGTATGTCTAAAAAAATATTCAGAAATAATGCACAGAAAAAACACTAACAAATAATTGATGTGACACATTGGGTATAGTACAATCATATAATCCTACTTACCAATGGGTTCGGGCAAACTCAGATGTCTACAAAGGCCATCAATCCCAGCAGCAATTATAGCAGCCAGCCCCAAGTGTGGATTTGCACACCCATCAAATGCTTTAATCTCAAAGTTGCTCACAACACCATTTGGAACCCCAGGTGGGCATGCAGTTCTCAGGGGTGCTTCTCTGTTCTCTTTTCCCTAGCACTGGCATGCTCCACTCCACACATTGGGCACTATGTGATCATAACTACATTCCAATAACAGTTGAACAAGGAAATTAGAGAAAACAAACTATATTATTTTTTGTTAATTTAATACACATCTATTTGAAGTTCAAAAGCCCAACAACGTACTAAAATTTTGATCCTTCAAACTGCATAAATTTGGAAGTGAAAAAATGGGCAAAAAGAATTTGCACAGAAGGGCATTATTTAAATTTAGCAAAAAGGGAGCATCGACAATTAGAATAAGTGTCAAAAGTGCACCCTCACTTTACAAGCTAGCTATTGGGGTTGAGTTTTACACAAGATCATATCACACAAACAACTTATGATAAGAATAGGAAAAGAATACATGTATTTTTTAAAAATAAGTTACATATTCTGCTGAAAATTGAAATCCTTCAATTCATCAAAAATTGAATTTCATTCAAAATTTCAAACATCTTATCTGTCCTTTCATGTTTCTAGACCAACGAGTTCTACATAAAAACTTCTAGATTAGAAAAAGGTCCGTGCACAAAAATTAACAAATTCGAGTCTGCAGGGAGAAGTAGAAATGCAAGGATCTGTTTGTTTCAATTCAAATGATTAACTGGGAAAAAAGTCTTTTGCATAATAGTGGCTCCAGAAATTATTGTAAGATATCTGCTTTCTTCATGTAGGACTGAAAGCGATGGAAACATCACCTTGAAAGGTTTTCCTCAAGATCAATAGTACACCCATCAAATTTCCAAATATAACTGCATGCTTAAAAAATAATTTTATGTAGACAAGATATTTTAACAAAACTGGTAAAAATGCATACTTCTCTGTTAGTACCTAACTACCTATTCATATGGGTTCAACTCTGACACATGTTTTGCACAAGAATCATCAAAATTATACGAAAAAAATTAAAAACCTGTTTGGAAGTGGTGCCGTAAAGGCCAGAATTGAAGGAAGATGATTTAAAACCCCTGCCATGAACTCTTCTTCAACCGTGGACATTCCATGCTTAGAGTGTCCACCAGATGCCATAAATATATTTTTCACATTTTCCCACAAACTGAGATGCACAAACATCATCTAATGCATACCTGGGGCAAACAAAAAAATGGAGAAAACAGTTAAGAGACCTAGCTTGAAGGAGAAAATTCTGCAGGTGAGGAAATGAGTAAAGCTCAACTTTGAGTGAGTATTTTTAACACTGATTGATCCTCTTGCAGAGGATTTATGAACTATTACAACAAAACATAAATAATAACTGAATTTTATTTTATTTTTTACAATTAATTATAACTTCAAAGCCGTATTTCTTACCCTTAAGGTCTTTTTTCTAAAAAAAATTTCTGGCTAAATTACACTAACACCCTTGAAGTTTTTGACAAGGACACCCTTCAGGTTTCTAAAATAACACTAACACCCCTTGTCAAAAATGTTGGCCTAATGACGTTAACAGAACAAGTGGAATCACATTCTTACCCTCTTGCAAAATCATATTTAACAAAAAGCAGTCACATATTGTATAGTGCAGAAACCTTAGAACGATTCAATCAGCCATCGCACTAGCTCTCGGAAATGATACAGAAAAAATCCTGCGGTCATTTAGCATGGTAGGTTTGACATATAGGGTACATAAAGGATATGACATATATGTAGATGATTACTGATGAAACAATAAAACACAAGGCAAAGGAAAATGTTTGCTCAATACAAACAATAAACAAAGATATTCATTTTTTCCCCTTTAATCCAAAAGAATAATGTTTATCATACTTCTTACATCATCATATGGATAGAACAATCTCCTCACTGTTCATCCAAACCATTATAGGATTCTTACTACTAAACAATGAAAAGTGTAAAAGAAGAAGAACAAGTTGACTGTATTTTGAGCATAGAAAGAAGATAATTGTTTTTAGAAAAAAATTCAAGAAAATTGAAGAAAGTTGGGAAAATGTGGGTAAAATTGGACAAATATCCCTATGATCTTGTCATTTACAGCCGCATAGGAGGAAGAATAAAATGAGTAAGAGAACCCAACTCCAATTGGTGTCTCCAAATACAACATATTTGTTTCTGTGGATCAATAAGCACACCAATCACATGAAATCAAATCTTAGAAGCCAAATCATCTATATAACTTGTAAGGGTATATATAAAGTATAGTATAGTATAGTACCTCTGTTCCAGCTATATTCATTCCTGACCAGTGCCTTCCCACTAGGCCTAAACGGTCCATTTTCAGAAAATGCCCCAACCCCCAATGAAGAACAACCTGGCCCTACCACCAAAATAAAAATCAAAATTTAAAAAAAATTAAAATTAAAACTAAATACCCATAATGTGGGTGTGTATGAGGAACTGAGAAGTTGGAGTACCTCCATTTAACCAGATAACAAGAAGCTTGAAAGCCGGATTTGATTTAGCTTCAAGAACTAGAGCTTTCTGTTTCTTGGCATCAACGGTCACATACCCAGAAAATTGCTGGTGACTGACTTGGGGTTGGCCAGGTAGTTGATGAATTCTGTCTGATGCAGAGAGGGAAGATGAAGAAGAAGACTCTACTACTTCCATGGAAAGGGTAATTAGCTGTAACAGAGATGGGGTATGGATCTACAATCTGTGTGGATCACTCACAGATCTGTGTGGATCGACTCAGATCTCGACCTACGGTTGTCAGACCTACGCCGGAACATGGCTGACGCCGCCGTATCTCACAGCATCGGCTAGGGTTTACGATCTGAACTCTGTGTGTGTGTGTGTGTGTGTGTGAGAGACAGAGAGAGAGAGAGAGAGAGAGAGAGAGATGAAATAGAAGATGTAGGGAGAGACGGTGGTTCTAGTGGTAAAGTAGGTGAGGAGGAGGCGCGTCGCCAGAGGGAAGGGGAGGCGGTGGTTCTGTTCTGTGTATTTTAAAGAGGGAGAGGAATGGGTTTAAAGAGAGATGAGGTTTGGTCGTGAAGGAGAATCTGTGTGAGAGAGAGTGAACAATATGTTTTTGTTTAAACAGAGAACAGGCGGGCGTTATTTCTCTCTAAAATTTTTACACCTTTGGCGACCAAAAATAAATTTGGTCACCAATTAATTTTATAAATCATTTGAAATGACTTCCTCAAAATATTTTTGTTTGCGACAAAAATATTTTTTAATCGTTGAAAATAAATTTTTGGCCACCAAATTTTTGGTTGCCAAAGATAAAATTAAAATTTTTGTTTTTCATTCGGCGACTAAATAATTTTAGTAGTCAAAACTAAATGTACAACGACTAATACATATTTCAGTTGCTGAAAATAAATTTTTGGCAACCAAATTTTTGGTTGTCAAAGATAAAATGTAATTTTTTATTTTTCATTCAGCGACTAAATAATTTTGGTAGCCAAAACTAACTATACAGCGACTAAAACATATTTTAGTAGCTGAAAATAAATTTTTGGCAACCAAAATTTTGGTCGCCAAAGATAAAATGTAATTTTTTTATTTTTCATTCGGCGACTAAATAATTTTAATAGCCAAAACTAACTATACAGCGATTAAAAAAAATTTTGGTCACCAATTGTGCCATTTTTAGCAACTAAAATATATTTAGTCACCAATAATCAATATACCCCGACTAAAAAGAATTAGTGGCTAAATCTTGTACTTTTCCCGACTAAAATAATTTTTGGTCGCCAATTCCACAACTTTTGGCACTTATAAGTATTTAGAGGTAGATTGACAGAGAGAAAGAGATTGTGTGTGTGAGAGAGAGATTCATACCGCTCTTGTTCTTCAGATCACCATGGCAACAAAAAGAGCTTGAAACGGAGAGAATGATATCAAGAAAGACAACATCGAAGGAACGACGCATAAGACAAGGGGTTAGGGCTTGCGTATAAGAAAAGGGCCTAGAGTGCAACGTACGATGGTGACAGTGGAGAGGCGAGAACAGCCGACGGCAACGTTGATGGTGAGGTAAGGTGAGGCGAGGTAGGGTGAGGTTTGGTGGTGAAGGAGAATCTGTATGAGAGAGAGAACAATCTGATTGGTTTAAATAGAGAACAGGTGGGGGAATCTAAAATTTTCGCACCTTTGGTGACAAAATTCGTTTTTGGTCGGCAAATGCTATTATCTGCGACCAAAATATTTTAGTCGCTAAAAGTTTTTCAATCCCACTTTTTTTTTGTCTTCCCTCTTCGACTTTTGCCGATCAAAATTTTTTTTTTTGTCGCCAAATGAAAATTTTTTGTGACTAAAATAGTAAATTGGTCGCTAAAAATCACTTTTTAGCAACAAAATATTTTTAGTCGGTAATAGTGTCAAGTTTTAGCTACGAAATTTTTTTTGGTAGGCAGATGTCAATTTTTTGCGACCAAAATATTTTTAGTCGACAAAAGTGTTCAGCAATTGTGTATTTTCTTGTACTTCAGATTCCATCAATTCTATCAAAAGAAATACATAATAAGAAACAGAGCAAGATTCAATTTTCAAAGCATAGATCAAGTCAACTGTAGTAACAGTAAGTCTAATCTATGTGAGAGAGAGAACAATCTGATTTGTTTAAACAGGGAACAGGCAGGGACAATATTAAATGGTTTCCCTCTAAAATTTTCACACCTTTGGCGACAAAAGTTGTTTTTGGTCGGCAAATGTTAATAATTGGTGACTAAAATTTTGTTGTAGCCAAAGCTTAATTAACGGCGACTAATATATTAGTCGGCAAAAAAAATTAATTTGGCGACTAACTTTTTTTTGGTCGGAAAAAATAAATATACGACGACTAATATTTTTTTGGTAGTTGAAAATAAGTTTTTGGCGACCAAAATTTTGGTCGCCAAAAATAAAAAATAATTTTTTATTTTCCATTTGGCGACTAAAATATTTTTAGCCGCTAAAAATAAGTTTTTGGCGACCAAAATTTTGATCGTCAAAGATAAAAAATAATTTTTTATTTTCCATTTGGCGACTAAATAGTTTTAGTAGCCAAAACTCAATATACGACGACTAAAATATTTTTAGTCCCTAAAAATAAGTTTTTTTGGCGACCAAAATTTTGGTCGGCAAAAGATAAAAAATAAATTTTTATTTTCCATTCGGCGACTACATTGTTTTAGTAGCCAAAACTCAATATATGGCGACTAAAATATTTTTTGTCGCTAAAAATAAGTTTTTGCCGACCAAACTTTTGGTCGCCAATTCCACAACCAACTTATTTTTTACCTTTCGCGACCAAATTTGTAGTTGGTCACCAAAACCATACCACTTTCTGCGATCAACTCATTTTCTAGTCTCCAAAATATGACCTTCTGCGACCAACTCATATATGGTCGCCAAAAATAATGATCATTCGCGACTAATTAATATTTGGTCGCCAAAAGTTAACTTTTAGCTACCAACTTTTATATTGGTCGCGGAAAGTGGTCGCTAAAAGTACAGATTCTTGTAGTGTAAGGTTAGCTAATAAACCGGAATAAGAACACATGTGTTTTCAAAAACAACATATCATGTTAGTAAAGGCCGATCTTTGATCGGGCGAGCAGGGGTGCTCATTGCATGACCTTCCCCTCTCGTACCCAAGTTCCCGAATCGAGGCAACTTTGGTAATGACGGACACGTGGCCTTAGGCACGAGTCAAAGTTTCCTAAATTTTTCCAAAAAAAAATATTTAGGTGGCGACTCTAAAATCTGGCAAAGCAATCCATGTTTGGTGCTTTTTGATTAAAATCGATTTTCCAAAACGATTTGTCGGATTTGGACTCTTTGGTGATTTATTAGTCTTACATTACACTTTGTGAGATTAGATTCAGAACCATGACAGGAGTCCGAACTGTAGTAGCTAGAACCACAATTCGTGCCCTTGCGCGCAGAGCGGAGTTCGGGCGGTCTACAGATGGCCGAGGCCTAGAAAGAACTCTAGGATGCCTTGGCCACAAAGGAGGCCGATATCAAGGCTACTGATGAAAAGGCATATGCCGAGGGTGCGGCCGATGTCAAGGAGGACTACAAAAAGCAAGTGAAACAGACATGCAACAAGGGTTTCACCCTTGGTTGAATGGCTGCCCTCAAAAAGCTAGATGTCCTCGAGGACTTCCCCCTCCGGAATGCTGGTGACATCCTTTTTCCATTTCCCCTTCTTCCAAGCGAATCCGAAGACAACTTTGTGTCCGAGGAGGAAGCTTTGGTTAGGAAAAAGAAGGGTGAGGAGACTGTTGGGGCCAAGTCCCCTACTCTGAATGAGCAAATCTTGGACTTGACTCAGGATGAGGAGGGTGAGGAGGTCTCCAAAGACGCTACTCCTGAGAAGGAAACATCGGACGCACCTATTGCCGACAAGAGCCTCAACCAAACCCTTCAAGAAATCGATGCCGAGCTCACGGCTGAAAAGGCCGTCGAAATGTCTTCTCAGTAGTCTTCCGAACTCTAGACCCAACTAGCCAGAGACGCCGAAGAGTCTTAGTTTGATGTTTTTCTCTTTTTTCTGTACCTTGTACTTTCTTCTTTCTTTGAAACAATGTAAGCTCTTCATGTGGCCGATGTGCCTTTCTTTTGAATGTAAATACAATTTCCTCTTTTGAATGCTTGTATGTTTGTCTTTTTTATATGACTCTATACTTAGAATAATTTGGATGTCTTCAACATACACCTTAGTCTGTGCAATCTTCTCGGGGTGATGCCCCTCGGTCAAAAATAGACGTTTTTATCTCAGCAAGTACATAAGTACTTCCTTCATTACAACCTTAGTTTAACTTCAACTTGTAAATTTTTCTAAAAAATTTCAACAAGTGTTTAACCATGACCTCGGTTTAACTTCAACTTGTAAATTTTTTTCAAATTTCAACAAGTGTTAAACATGACCTCGGTTTAATTTCAACTTATAAATTTATTTTTCTCAAATTTCAACAAGTGTTAAACATGACCTCGGCTTAAACTTCAACTTGTAAATTTTTCTCAAATTTCAACAAGTGTTAAACCAATCTTCCAAGCATTATTTTCCAGTCCTCTGCCCCCTAATGTGAACCTAAGTTCCACTTGGGTTGTCATTTAAGCCTGGGGCTGTGACCTTGTTGCAGAGGTCAGATTCAAGCAAAGACTGGCCGAGGTAAACAACCTCGGCTTCTTTGTTAATCTGACTGATATGTACTTAGTTCCAATCTGAGTTTGATTCTGTCAATATGACAAGTCTAGGTTACCCTAACTTAGTTTAACTCAATTATATGCAAGTAAAAGTTCTACTCTGCCATATAATAAGTCTAAGTTATTCGTCATGTTTCGCTTAGAAACATCGCCAACTTAGTTCAACTCTATTATACGCAAGTAAAAGTTCTACTCTGCCATATAATAAGTCTAAGTTATTCGTCATGTTTCGCTTAGAAACATCGCCAACTTAGTTCAACTCTATTATACGCAAGTAAAAGTTCTACTCTACCATATAATAAGTCTAAGTTATTCGTCATGTTTCGCTTAGAAACATCGCCAACTTAGTTTAACTCTATTATATGCAAGTAAAAATTCTACTCTGCCATATAATAAGTGTAGCAACCCTCACCTTACTCTTGTCATACTTGCATACATCCATGCATGATCTTGTCTTGTTATGTTGTTTTGCAAGTTTTGCCTTGCCTTGTTTTGTTTAAGTGTTGCTTGCATGATTTTGTTCCTTGTTGGGTGTGTAGCCGAGGTCACCTTGAGCTTAGTTCACCTCTAAACCTTTGTACTTAGAACTATTTTGGAACCACTTGGTCGACCCCCATCTTCACCCGGGCATGTTTGCCGAGATGTTTTGCACTTAGTGATCCTTGTCCTTGGGCAGGTATGGCCTAGACCGAGGTGTGGCACACCCCGGCCAAGGTGTGGCATAGCTTAGTCAAGTGTCGTCCTCCCTAACCGATGTCTTTGTTATCCTGTTGCCGATGCTTTAACTTTAGCCGATGTCATTCTTGCCGATGTGTCTTGCCGTAGCTTGCTGCATACGCTTTGTCTTAGACTTGTCTTATCAATCAATCACCTTTTG